CGTTGGAGGCCATGGGTAAGAGCTCGCTCAGGCTGTGGGTCATGCCTGGTGGCTCCCCTGGGTCAGGCCTCTGATGTCCCCAAGTCTCCTCTATAAAACACCCTCAGTTGCAGCCCCGGGGTAACTGAGGAGAAGCCTGTGTGGATGTTTGTACGCAGGGCGCCCAGCACGTCTGATGCGCTCAGGGGACGTGACCACTATCACCAGTGTTGCAGCGGGGACGACCTGTGCTGGGCATGGCTGTCCCAGCCGCAGCTGCTCCAGGTGAGAAAGTACACAAGCAGAGGCAGCTTTGGGCACCCTAAACTCATCACTGGGACCCCTTTGTGGGGCTCAGGCCCTGAAGGAGAAACGGGGCAGGCTGCCCACCGCCACTGATCCAGGCCACCTGCCTCTATTGTGTCTGAGTCTAGGCCGGGCACCAGGGTAGATTCTGGAGGCCTGGCCCCTGCTTCTCGGCCCCTGTGGTCTGTCTGGGAGTGAGGTCGTCAACAAAGGGTGGCATGATTATTAAATCACCCCCGTGCGTGTCCCAGGAAGCAGCAGGACAAAGGTCGAATATGGGGGCACCAGGCCTCGTGTGAAGGGTCCAGGTGAGCTTCCCTGGGGGCTCCAGAGATGAGCCGTGGGTACCACTGGCTAGGACAGGAGGGGGGTGGGGGACGCTGCTCGTGGCCAAAGACGCTGAGTTGGGAGGGCACAGCCCATTAGAGGGATGGCTGGTGGGTCTGGAGCCTGGGAAGGCTGTGTGTGTGTGTGTGTGTGTGTGTGTGTGTGTGTGTGTGTGTGTGTGTGTGTGTGTGTGTGTGTGCATGGTGTGTGTGTGTGTGTGTGGTGTGTGTGGGGGGCAAGGTGGCAGGTGGCAAGAGGAGGCTGGGAGAGGTGAGGGGTCATGGCCAGGGCGAAGGCAGAGCAGAAGGTGGGGCAGTCTGGAGGCGAGCGGGAGTCAGGGATGGTACTGGGCGCCCAGAGGCTGCAGGCCCCCCTGGCATCACTGATGACCAGGTCAGCAGCTCTGTCCTCCTTTCACAGCATCGTGACCAGCGTCAATGGCAGGTCCCTGCAAACATCTGTTGAGTGCATGGTGGATGGGGCTGCAGAAGGAATGGGCATTGAGGGACGCTGAGGAGTCTGTCTCAGATGTGCTGCAAGGGGGCCCCAGAAAGCATTCTGAGGTCCAGCTTCAAGCCTGGACTTGCCTGCTGTCCTCTGGGTTCCCACACCTCTGGGATGAGGGTGGGAGTGTGACGGGGCCCACGGAAGCAGGCCAGTTTCCCAGGCGTGGGGACTGCACCATCCCACTGGGCCCCGTGCTCAAAAGGGCCCCATGCTCAGAAGGGCCCCTTGCGTGGTTCCATGCTCTGCTGTCACCACGTGGCAATTCTTTATTTTTGAAAAAGGGGCCTCCTATTTTCACTTCACCCCCTGGTCCCACAAATTCTGTAGCCAGTGTTGCCCTGAAGACCAGCACAGGCCAGTGAGCAAAGGGGAAGGACACGGGGGAGACCAGGGCCTCCTGCTGGCCTGTAGGAGGCCTGACACGACCTGCCCTGAGGTCTGGAGAGAAGGTGCTGGGGCAGAAATGGGCATTTCCTCGTGTTCACAAAATGCCCCTCCTCCACCTAAATCTGCTGGTTGAGCATCAGTGTGCTGGGCACGGAGCTGGGAGCCTTGCCTACACCTTTCGTTGGCATGTGCACCTGTATTGTCCCCGCTGTGCAAACAGGAAGGCTCAGGGTGTGCAGGACCCGGGTCCAAACTCACCCCTCCACCCAGAAGGTGGAAAACTGAGGGTCTGCCTTGAAGCCCAAGGTCATCCCAGAACAAACAGGAAGGCTTAGAGGCAGGAACTGTATGGAATCATTCCTTTCAGAGCATGGATAATCTGAAAACATAAATGAGGTCAAAAGGCTTCAGGTCACATCAGGGCTGGCAAATCCATTAGTGTTAGAGGCAAGCCTCACTCCAATGGTCTCCGGAAGTTTCCACGTATTGCTGTTTACTGTGTACCAGGTAGTATATATTGACGCATTTAATCATCTCAAAAACCTTGAAGGTGGGTGCGGTTACCCACAGTGAACCAATGTGGGGCTCAGAGATTTGTGACTAGTAGCCGGGGGGAGACTGGACCCTGGCTGGTCCACGTCCCTCGGAAGCTGTGCCCTTAACCATGCTCCCTCCACCACCTTGACGGGGAGACTGGACCACGGGGCCCAGAGCCAGCCCAGCTGGTTTGTGATGATTTGAAAACAGACGCCCTTGGCCCTGGTTCTGAGTAATACCCCACATGAGACACGGCTGTCTGCCAGCTCATGGGGACTGTCACCCGTCTGTGACTGAGCCAGAGGCCATTCTGGTGGCAACCCCGCGTCCCACAACAAGCCAGCTCTTAGGAAGTGAAAGAAGGCAAAGGCAAGAGAAAAGGTCTTTTGGCAAAAAGATGGCTTTTCTGCCTTAAAAACAAAGCAAAAACCACTTTTATAAGCAAGTATAACCACTGTGAGAAGACAGAGTGGGTACCTTCCACCACAGGAGGCTGGGCATGGGTGGGGCACAGGCTTCTGAGAAATTCGGGACAGAGACCCTGACCCCCTTCTCTGGTCCATGGCGGCCACCCCCGGGGACAGCCGAATCTGCCGGCTCACGACTGTGACCTCCTCCTTGGCGTTTGATGAGCTCAGGGCCCCGGGCAGGAGATGGCCTACTAGGCAGGTGTTACCCTAATTTTGTGACCTTTTTAATGAAATAAACAGAAAAATTAGCAAAATCACATTCCTGATCATCCCTCCTGTAGTGGCCCCAAATTTGCTAACTGCTAACATTAAACGATGCATTTCAGTAGGGGAGTGCATTTTTTACATTGTGATTAGATATACATAAAATTTACCATCTTAACCATTTTTAAGTTTGGCAGCATTAAGTACATCCACATTGTTGTGTGTCTATTTCCAGAACATTTTCATCTTCCCCAACTGAAACTCCGCTCTCATGAAACGCTGACTCCCCCGTTTCCCTCTCCCAGCCCCTGGCAACCGACATTCTACTTTCTGTCTCTGTGAATTTGACTCTTCTAGGGACCTCATATATGTGGAATCATACAGGATTTGTCCTTTTGTGTCTGACTTATTTCACTTTGCATAATGTCTTCAAGGTTCATCCATGTTGTAGCATGTGTCAGAATTTCCTTTTTAAGGATGAATAATATTCCATTGCATGGATAGACCACTTTATCCATCATCCGTTGATGGACACTTCAGTTGTTTCCACCTTTTGGCTATTGTGAATAATGCTGCTATGAATAGGAATGCATTTTGTAAAGTAGTATATTCTGGAGAGCACCACTGGTGTACACAGGTGTGCGGAATTCTGGGGGCAAAGTGTCCTGAGCTTTGGTATGGCAGGTGCCCAGGCCTGATTGCTTAGCTAAATCAACTTGGGAAAAAGACCCCCCCCCCGTCCAGCTGCCGTTCTTTTATCTGTCTGGTGGGGGGGATGTGTGTGTTGTGGAGTTTTTAAGACTTGGGAAAAAGACCCCCCCCCCGTCCAGCTGCCGTTACTTTATCTGTCTGGTGGGGTGGATGTGATTGTTGATGAGTTTCTAAGGGGTGGGGTCCCCAGACGCTGCTGTGCCCCCAGCCACGTGTCCTCAGAGCAACTTAGGACAGTCCTCTTCTGTCACAGAGTTATTATTATAGTAACAATAGTGACAGCAATGGTGCTAGCAGGCACCAATCACTGGCATTTGTCTTGTGCCCTGCCCTGGACTGGCATGTTCCTGCCTGTGTCCTTCCATGACCCCAGGTGGGATGTGGGTGATGAGTCTGGGGTCCAGGGAGGGCTGGGATTTTGCCCAGGGTCTCACACCAGTGAGAGGGTGGCTGAGACTTTCAGCAAGGTCACTAGGTTTCCTGAGTCCGAGCTCTGGACAGCCCGGCTGCCAGGAGGCTGAACCCCCTGCAAGCAAGTTGGGCTGACCAAGTGCTGCTGGTTCTCAGCCCGGCCCGAAGCTGCAAGTGCAGGTTCCCCGGCAGCTGCAGCAAGTCCAGGAGGCATTGATTGTAAAGCTGGCCCCGAGGCTGGGACTGAGAGCAGCGTTTTGAGACCGGCTGGTTAGTTTTCTTGGTTCTACTGCTCCGAAGACAGGGGCCAGCCAGGTGGGAGCCATTCTGGCTGAGCTGTGCTTCCTATTCTAGGAGGGCATGAGCAGAAACGAGGAGGGGGGAGGGTGGGCGGTGGGGAGCAGAGGGCACCGCCCACGGTGTTGGCCTTGCTGGGCGGAGGGCCAGGGAGCCCAGGCCCACGTGTGGTGGAGGAGGTGTGGGGGGGAGGGGCCAGAGCCTTGGCGAGGGCCCTGAGCGCTGGTTCCCATGCCCCTGGCCCCGGTGCTGGACACCAAAGCTCGGGGGCAGGCGGGTGTTTGACCCCGGTCACACGCTGGTCAATGAGGGGCTGAAATCACTCCCACATGTGCCGACCCCACGGCCACTGGGGGCCCCTAAAGCAAGAGAAAGAAACTCCCTGCCACTTGCACTCCTACCCAGGCCGCCCTGACATGCTGCGTGGCCAGGAGAGTAGCCCCACCCCAGCCTCTCGGGGCCAGTGGCCTCCACCCTAACCAAAGTCACAGGGTTGCATGTGGCCGTCCCACCAGCCGCTGGGACACGGGAGTGGGGGGCGCACAGCGCAGGTTAGGGCCCCCCATTACTGTGTGCTGCCCCCAGGCCCCTCCCTTGAGGGCAGGGGCAGTTAGGGCTTCCCAAAGCCCAGCCAGAATCCAGCCCTGTCTACAGCGGTTTCCGGGGGAGACCAATTTGAGATGATGCAAGAGAACAGGATGTGGCTTTTGAGGGGGGCCATGTCTAGGGGTGCCCCAGTTCCCTGACATGATGTTGGGTGTCTGTTTACTGTCTGGCCCCCCTGGGGAGGTAAGCCCCAGGGACAAGGGGATGCAGACGAGCCTGTGCGTGGCTGGCTGAGTAAACTGGCCTTCCCATCCTCAGGTCCAGCTGGGAGCTCCCAGACCTCCAGGAAGGCAAGATTGAGGCCATCAGCGACTCGGACGGGGTGAACTACCCCTGGTACGGCAACACCACAGAGACCTGCACCATCGTGGGCCCCACCAAGAGAGACTCCAAGTTCATCATCAGCATGAATGACAACTTTTACCCCAGCGTCACGTGGGCCGTGCCCGTCAGCGAGAGCAATGTGGCCAAGCTGACCAACATCTACCGGGACCAGAGCTTCATCACGTGGCTGGTAGCCACCAACACCTCGACCAACGACATGATCATTTTGCAGACACTGCACTGGCGCATGCAGCTCAGCATTGAGGTGAACCCCAACCGGCCCCTGGGCCAGCGCGCCCGGCTGCGGGAGCCCATCGCCCAGGACCAGCCCAAAATCCTGAGCAAGAATGAACCCATCCCGCCCAGCGCCCTGGTCAAGCCCAATGCCAATGACGCTCAGGTCCTCATGTGGCGGCCCAAGTACGGGAAGGCACTGGTGGTGATCCCGCCCAAGCACCGGTAACAGCCAGGGCGCCTGCGAGGTGACACCCAAATAATAACACCACGCAAACAACCCACACGGACTCTGCAGTCGTTCAGCAAAATACAACCTTTCTACCTTCTCCAGCGGGCGGATCTCACTGTGCGAACGCACGGGGATGGCCCCCCCGCCCTCCTGGGACCTGCTTCCCTGGTGGAGGGGGGAGACCCAGGCGGGACCGACCACTCCACGTGCGCCCTCAGTGTCACCTTGGGTCTCCTTTCCTCTCCTCGCAATTTCCGTCATTCACTTGCAACAGACTCCCTGAAACAACTGCTTTTTCCGTTCCTTTTTTTTTTTTTAACGCCTCTTTAAGAGGTTCAGGGGTGGGACGAGGAGGAGTTGGTGATGAGCCTGGTCGCACCACACCGGGGCTGATTCCCCCTGGGCTGATGCCACTGGGGCTGATGGGCGGCGGCCCCACCCCGCCCGGGCAGCTCCCCTCGTCCTCTGTCACGCGGCCTTATGTAGACTTGCTTTGCCAAACTTTTGCCTTAAGCCGATTTTAAAGGAAAAAACCGGAAACAAAGAGAGCAGTTTGTCTTTTCTGCTGGACTTTGCATCTTCCGCCAGAGGTGAGGGAGGAGGGGGTTGGGCTACAGATTTAGATCTAAAACCGGCTGCTCATTCTTCCGTTTTAGCTGAGCCGAAACCACTGACAGATTCTGCCCCCAAAGTCCCTTCTCTCCACCCCAGGTAGAACCCTTACCCTACTCCGTGCCTGCAGAGACAAGCTGTGAGCTCGGGCTCAGGGTAGATCTGCGGGGGGCTTCTCTCTCCTCTCTCCTCTGCAGCAGGAACTTGCCTTGGGTGGGCCTAGGAGCAGAGAGGGAGGGTCCCGTGAGTTATAGGTTGAGCCCAGGGAATTCCCACCGTCTCGGTCCTCAGTGCCCATTGCCAGCTGGCTCTGTCGGCACATCTCAGTGGGCAGCTTTTCTGTTTCCATCCACACTGTCCCAAACACCTGGAGGGCCAGCCACCTTACCCAGCTGTAGTTCAAAGGTAAGAAGGCCTGCCCTTGCCACCCAGCACCTTCTCGGGGATGCCCCTCCTGGGCTCTCCGGGGGGTGCCTGCAGACGGGCTCCAAGCACCGTGGTGCTGCAGGTGAGGGCACCCACAGATGGGCATGCCTGGATCTGGTAAGGCTGGGGAGGCGGGAGGCAAGGGGCAGACCCCCTGCTGCCGGCCCTCACAGAAGCGAGCCAGCAACCACAGCCAGGGTGATGAAGTGAGCCTGGGGTTGAGGCTGGTCCTTGAGGTCACCCTCCTTCGGGTCCTGGGCCCTCTGGAGCCCCAGGACCTGGTCCTGCGTGTCGCCAAGCTTTTTTAGCAATGTCTGCCTTGAAGGCTGCTTGCAGGAGCTGAGGGGACACCCTGCTGAGGGAGGCCCCCTCCCTCCAAGCTTGACAAACCCACAGCCTCATTCAGACCGATAATAATCAAGCCCAGAAAACTGTCAGATGAGAGAAATAATCCATTTCTGCTGCAGATGAGTCGTTATGTAGGAGTCCCAGTGACAGCGTGGGTGGGCGTGGTTCACGAAGTCCTTGCTGTGCTCCTTTATCCACGGGCTACTGTATTTATTCAAGGGGTGCTTAACGTCCAGCCATCGCCCGAGCCCCCCGCTCCTGACGGGAGGCATGCAGCTCTCCTGGAAACTCTGGACGGGAAACAGCTTTGTGTGGCCGGCTGCCGGCCTGGTGCTTGGGGAACCCCTGTCAGGACTGGGACCTTCCCCCTGGAAAGTGCCAGTTCCCCTTGGTGTGTTCGGAGGGAGGCCTGCCACCCAGAGAGGCCACAGCCTCAAGTGAGGGGGATGATGGGTCCCAGCTCCCCATCTGGGCATAGGCTGCGGAGGGGTCAGGGTGGCAGTGGCTGGCTGCCGCGGACGGGACCTGGCCTCCTGATGGCACGGCCCTTCTCTGCACTCAGGTCTTTCTTGCACTACAAAGGAGAAAGGGCCCTGGGCGAGGGGTCAGGGACCGGAGTGCCGGTTCTGGGCTGGGTCATCGCTAAGGAGTTCTTACTAGGGTAGGGGTGGGAGTAGGAACCAACAGTAAGTGGTGGTCCTGAGCTGTCTGGGGGCAGAGTCCCCCAAGCCCGCGCTTCCTGCGTTTGAGCAGGCCCTGGGCAGGGGCCCACAGCTGGGCCCATTGGGAGGAGCCCTGCTGCTCCGCCCCGCCCCTCACTGCCCGGCCCCTTGCTCTCTGCCCCTCCTAGCCTTTCGGAAGACAGGGCTCGGAGGGCCCTGGGGAGGCTCCAGGTCCCGCTAAGGAAGCTCGGCTTAGCTTGGGTCTGGTCCCTCGGCTTCTCATGTCAGGAACGCAGAGCCCAGGCTTCTCACCTGGGTCCCCAATCCCTCTGGTGTCCCCCTCCCCGGCGTGGACACACTCCTCCAGCAATAAGGACCGTCTGTGGTCGTGGAGAGTACTGTGAAAACAGACCAATGCACTTACTAGGAGGCACAAGACTCTGGAAGAAAATGTAAAATGAACCTTTTTAAAACAACAACAAATATTCACAAAGAGAAATAAAATGTAATTTTAAAGTAGGCCTGGCTAGGATCTGGATGTTTCTGAGGTGGCGGTTCATCTGGGGGTTGACAGCTCTGGATCTCTGGCCTGGGGAGTGAATGTATCTTGTGGGGGGGTGGGTATATGGCTGGAGCCTGGGGGTTCTGGTGCTAAGGGCCTTGGAGGAACCCAGGAGGAGGTGGGCCACTTCGCAGATGGCATCCTCTGCTCTCCACAGCTCTGGACCTCAGTCCCCACCCAAAGTGCCCCCTGGTTGGGGCCCTGTGTGGACGAGGGGCAGGAGACTTGGATGTGCAGCTAGGACTTGGGGACAGCTTGGCTTTTTGGCAAACAATAGAAACCTGTGTAACAAGAGGGGTTAGTGTTTAGACTGGGTTCTTACCCACAGACTTGCAAACCTGTCTTCACATGGAGACGTGGCTGCTAAGTCAAGGTCAACCTAGGCCGTGGCCCTGCACCTGCCCTCGCCTGTAGCTGCTGAAAGGGGCCGCGTGGCCAGAGCACTGATAGTAAATATTTTCTCCTCCTATTGGAACCTCCTTATGGAAGGATGAGAGGTGGGGCAGCCCAGAAGTCTGGAGTGGGTGTGGGCTCTGAAGGTGGACCATGGATTCAAGGTCATTGTTGTGAGTCTGGGCAAGACACTGAGCCCCTCTGACCCCGTTTACCTTGTATGGAAGATGGGGGTTCTCTGAGTAGCCGCCTCCTACCTGACACAGTGAGAACACCCTATTCTACTCGGTTTCTGGGTGTTAACTCACCAAATCCTCACAACACCCCAGATGTTATCCCAATCCCCATTTCACAGATGAGGAAACTGAGGGAGAGCCGAAGTCGAGAAGCTGCCCAAGGCCACGCATCTGGGAAGAGGCAGAGCCAGGATTTGAACCCCGGCCCCAGGGCCCAAACCTTCCCCTGTGTGCTCTCAACCTCAGCGAGTCATTGTGGAGCACACGTTCTGGGCTCAATAATTAACGGCGCCTATTATTAAGAAGAACCCCCCGCCTGCGGCTCACTCCATCCTGGGTTCCCCAGGCAGGAAGTGCCTTCCTCCCCACCCACAGGAAGTCTGTGCTGTCAGCTGTCCGTGGTCCACGGTGAGCCCGCTGTGTCCCCGCCTGTGAGGGGCTGCCTGGTCAGTTGCAGGCCACGGGCTCACTGGCTGGGTGGGCGGTGGCCTCTCAACATCGCCACGGAGCACGAGGGGACCCGTTCACTCTGGGCATCGGGGAGTTGGTTTCTTCCCTGGGCTTCGCACACTGCAGCAACCCAACGGCATTCTGCATCCTGTCTCCTGGGTGTCTCCTCTGAGACACCAAAGCAGGAAATTGCATAATAGGCTCCACTGGCCGCCCTCCACCCAGATGGCTTATGGGTGGTGCAGCTCACTATCGTGGTTTGGCTTTCGCCTGTGGATTCAGCTCCTGCGCTCTGCCTGTGAGACCATGGTGTGTGCGTGTGCGTGTGCGTGTGCGTGAACAGAGAACGGGGTGCAGCCCCGGCCAATGGCAGGAGGGAGCTGAGCCGGATCCCAAGAGGGTCCAGAGTTGCTCAGGCAATCGAATCTTCACACTGACATGGCAGGACGCTCAGACAGCTGCCTGCGTTTGGGGGTAACATTTGGGAGGGGAATGTGCAGGGGGAGTGGTTATGAGTAAAATGGATTCCAAGTGGCATTTCATCACACAGTGGAAGCCTCCAGCCTCTCAAGCTGATAGCAGGTTAAATTTAGAAGTCCCAGACTGGGATGAGACACAGACACGAGGCTCCAGCCAGCTGTTGCAGCGTTCTCCCCGCCCCCGCCAGGAGCCAAGGCCTGGGGAGCCGGCTGTCCAGGCTGGGCCAGGCCGACCTGCCCCAAGACGCCCGGAGAAACAGGCTCACTGCAACCTCACACCCAGCCTGCCTTCTACCAGTAAAGTCACTTCTGGGTAGAGCCCAACCTCTGCTCTGGACAAAGAGTCCCTGTATGTTCGGCCCTGAGGCCTAGAGGAAACCCCATTTGGGTCCAAGAGGGAGACAGCTTGCTGGCAGCTGCAGAAAGGAGAAGGCGGGTGGCGCTCTCAGGTCCCTGGACATTTCTAATGGCCCAGGCACTCTCGCACCTGTGGCTTGAGCTGTCTCTTGGTCCTCATCTATACTGCCTGAATGGTCCCAAAGAGACTGTTTCACACCTGGTTGGGGTCCGGGCCCTCAATTAAGGTAAACGTTGTGGGTAGCGACAGACCACAGTGCCCACACACCATCCACTAAGGACACATCCGAATCATCAACACGACGAAATCCCCCAGGACAAAGCGCATCCAAAGGGCGAGCGCTTGGCTCTTCCATGGCCCTTTTCTGTCCCCATACCTCATCAAATGGTGTTCTACCCGGTTTACAGATGAGGAAACTGACCCTCCCAAAGGGCCGAGGGTCTTGCTAAAGATCGCTCAGCTGGGAAGTCA